CCTGCATTCCACTTGCCTTTCTTTGGCTCAACTTTAGCATTCAGTTTCACTGCATCTTTAATTCTGTTTTTTTTCCTCTACAATATATGACTGCCTAAATCATCTTTAGCATATAATTATTTTGTCAATATTTTTCTCTATTTCATCATCTGCCTTGGTTTTGTCTAATGAAGCTGAATTTCAGTAACTGCTGCTGAAGCATTATCATTGTTGAGGAGAGAACAAAAGAAAATGGCTGCTGAATCAAATGGACCCCAAATCCTACACAGTCTTTTGTTATGTCAATGTACTTTGGTTTACTTACATGTATTCTTTGCCCTTGTCACAGTTTGAACATTTCTAAGATACTACATTAACATTTAAGGTCATTGGTGGAAAAATTCCAAAGGTAGCTACCAAATTAATTTTTCTCCTTTTGCTGTTTACTCTCTACTTAATAGAGTACTTCAAGTTCTCCTCTGCCCTTATTCTCCTCATTTCTAAATATTTCTTTATTATACTCAAACTCCTCTTCTTCTTTCCTTCTTACATCCCTGCCCACTATTTTCTTCTTCTTTTTTTCTTTTTAATCTTTCAAAATATTGGCTTATTTCTTTCCAAAATAAGTGATACTTCTAGTACTAGGCAAATCCCTTTACATACTGTCTTGTTTGAACTTCTAAATGACTAACCACTATGAACACAAAAGAGGTAAAAGGAATAAGGCATTTTTTTAAATAGCACTTATACAAATCTCAAGGAAAGTTTTTTAAAAAGATCAAGTGGAAAAGCTCACTTTGTCCTTGGCTTGCAATGTGTACTCTGGATAAAGAATAAGAGCTTTTTACAGATCATGCATTTAAGTAGGTAGAATTGGTTATCCCAGATCAAGATTATGAGCATCATTTTCAGTGTTTTACACTTTATCAATAGATTCCCATAATGAGAACAATAATTTGCAAAAAAATATATTATTTTAAGAAATATCCTTTCTGTGAGGGGGAAACGAAGGGGAAGTAAAACACAACAAACTTAGCAATCCACATGTTAAAAATTGTTGGTCCTAATGATGGTAATTTACTCCTAAATACAAAGTCACTAATTGCTGTGCGTTAGTGGGTGTTTTTCTGAGAAGTTTCTTTGAAAGTGATAATAACAGCTGCTGGTGGTATTTTAAGTCTAGGCTTTGGTCAAGTTGTTAAATAAGGAAGGACAAATGGAAACATTGGAAATGAGGCTGTTCCCTTGGGATGTCTTTGGTTCTTCATCTTTTGTCTTCCTGGGTGGTGCTTCAATACCACAACCACCTCCTTGAGCATCGCTCCGTCACTACTACTTCTAGGGAGAGTAAGACATGCGTTGTTGTTTAGCTGGTGATTTAAACCTATATGCTGCTTTGGGGCACATTTGCATATGGGTCACAATCAATAAATAATTTGGTGTTTCACCACCCACCTGTCAAGAAGGAGATGTTGTCTTTTGTGACAGTCTTTTGAGTTACAGCAAATAGAACTTATATCTTCAAAAGGTTCAAAATCAATCAGAAAAGAATGGCATCAGCAAGGGAAATACACCTGTGGCACCAATAAAGTTATAAAATAATAGGTGATGAGCTTTCCAGTGAGTGTCCAATGTCCCATTTGTCAGAAAACATGTTTTCTCTAATAAAGCTGTATTCTCTATCAATTACCAGCCAAGTACTGGGTGGGTACATTGTTTGCTCCCTCTGCAAATCGCCCTGTATGGGTAGTTGGCTGCTCTAATAGAGGATTTTTTAGAAAGTTATATACTAGAAAATGAAGGATTTTGGGGACAATGCATCACAATCTGATCTTAGTTTGCTGTTTATTAGCTGGGTAACTTGGGAAATTAATCTCTCTGAATATTAAGTTTTTAGTCTAGTAAATGAGGATAATAATTCTATTTCATAAGACTTCTTAGAGGATAATAAATTCAACAATGAATATAAAAATAACATGAGTTGGATACATAAGAAGTTTACAACAAATAACAATTATCATTATTAATGGTTATTTATGTAATTATAAATCATCTTCCTATTGGGGAAAACATGATATTTTATATATTATATATATATATATATCTTGTACCAAGTTAATATACATTTAGTGTATTGCTAGTGTGTTAAATTGTGTTGAAAATTTAAGATTAAAAATGATCATAGAAAAGTACACATCTAATTAAGTTTATATCACTGCTACCACCTGTTCTCTGGATTCTATTCACAAACATCCTTGCAGAAATCTGGCTTTGTTGATATCTCCTCTTCTTTCTTCCTCTCCCTGACTCACTCACGCTCTCTCTCTCTCTCTCTCTCTCTCTCTCTCTCTCTCTCTCAAAACATTTTTAACAATGCTTAAAAAGTCTATTTTGTTTAAATATCTCATATCAAATAAAAATTATCTTATGTCTCCTAACCTTTAGTTTGGGTTTTCTATCTCTTTCTTCCTATGATAAATTTCTTGAAAGTTATACACACCCATCACTTAGGTTTCTTACTACCTTGTCTTACCCTGCCAGACTCCTTGAATGAACCCCAGGTTTACATGCTCAGTTGACTTCTGGGCTTTCACCACCAAGCCTGAGGTCTCCCCAAAACTGACACAGAACCCAACCCGCATCTGCTCCCTTTTCTCTTCAATAACAATCTTTCTCTTTACCTTCAATTAATGGATACACCTGATAACTCTTCCAGATACAATAAAAGAGGCTCATCCTTGATTTCTTCCTCATTTTCACCGTGTATTCAAATTATCACTCAGTATAGTTGAGCCAGACTTTGAAATACATTCTGACTCTGTCTAATTCTCTATTTCAGTCTCCTTCATTTAGTTTTCAGTCCAGGCTTACCTCTCCCTGAGGCTTTAGAAAGAGCAGATTTGTTTCCAACTTTATCATAATCAGATGTAAGGTTTACCCATTGCCTTTGTGTAACTTTGAATCCATACCTCCACCCTGCACCCAAATGCTACTTTAACTAGATGATATTCTATTTCAACTCAATGCCAGGAGGTCCTTCTTGATTCCATATATCTATTAGCCATGCCTTTCAGTTCCACATGTGAAGTATTTTTGAGACCAGGTACTGATCATTGTGTCTACCACCACCTTCCCCCCTTCCATTTCATCTCAGGACACCCATAAAATGTCCTCAGATAGCAGCCTGCTTTCATTTCACCTCTCCAGCATTTCAAAGTTAATAATTTTGCAAAAATCATTCATTTATTTTACATCTCTGAAAAAATCCCCCTGGCCTTCCTTGTTATTTAATTTGACTGTGGGTCCTCTCTCCATACATCATTCACCTCCTCTCTCACCATGTTACTACTACCACTGCTTTCTCTATTGCAAACACTCTAGCTACCTTCTGTTTTGTGTCAAAACTAAGATTATTTCTGACCCAGGCTATTTATTCTCTGTACCTAGAATTTCCTTCCTAAAATCATCTCCCCGACCTCCTTCATTAATTTCAGAATTACAATCACATTTTTAGGAATATTATTAAAATTCATCACCCAAATCTGTGTTCTTACCATGCTGGATTCTCCCTCACAGCACTAATCAGCACCTGAAAATTGGTCATGTGTGTACACATGCTTACCATTCAACTCTGCCCCTCCATGGAGCTGTGCTGTGTCTGTCTTAATCAACATTCTATCAAATCTCAGTACAGAGCCAATGGCCTGACATACGGTGTTCAATCTACAAATTGTTTGAATGAATGAATGTCTTTTTATTTGTTCTGTTACACTTTGAGCAAGTTATTATCTTTTGTCATAGGTCTATCTCCTGTAAAATAAGAAGACTGGGCCGGAGAATCTCTTCTAGTTCTGACTCTTATTTTTCAGGACTCAGTAGCATATTCCTTTTTAATAGGTACCAATGTCAAGATCAAAGGTGTTCTTTTTCTATAATGTATAAAATAATAACCAAACATAACAAAATTAAATTCAATATGCAGTTTTTATTACTTAAAAATAACACATATTGGCAGTTATCTTTAAATTCGGGTGGGTCTGGAGATTATGATTCAAATGAAAATTTAAGCAAAAGAAATGGCAAATGTTGTTAAACCATTAAAAAAGAAGCTTGTTAAAGCAAGACTGATCATTCCTGTGATAGAATATATATCACCTTTACAATGTTTTTGGAGAAAATATTCACACTTCAAGAACTAAATATTAGAGCCATAAATATTTAATTCCATAAATCCGAGTTGAATTTTGGAATGTGAGTGGTTCCATTTTTTCTATATTGGAAGCCTCTAAACATTTCTTTTTATTTCTGTTTTATTTGTGAATTACATCCTAAGAGATTAAAAGGTTAACACTTTCCCCAATATGAAAATGTGGAATATATTTTTAGTGACACTTAATGCATAAACATGAAGAATTCTGCCAATAATATAGATTACACCATAGCAGATTGCACCATTATTTATAGGACAACTGTTTGAGGAGAAAAATAAACTAAAAAAGTTGCCACCAAAATAATTTGAGACATGCTAAAGTGCACAATTCTGTAGAGAGATAAATGAATAAATAAACAATTATAATTGAGGCAATCAACATAAGGGAAAATGACCACAGAGATCACCGATTTGGCAGGCACAATTTAGCCCTTGCTGAGGATATAAAGATCAATGAGTAATACAGGCTGTCTTTATTGTGCACAAACCCCCTTATTATAAATTATTAATGAGGAGATAAAGAATATTTTCATAATATTCATCACTGATTAAAAACCTCCCAGGCAATTTTCTAGCTTCAAATGATATTTTCCTGATGCGTGTGTATGTGTGCATATGTATGTATATTTACAACTGACAGGTCCTTTATGTTGGAAATTTTTACTTTGCATTTTCTCTTGAAGCATGTTACTAAGCATATTTATGTAATAGTTATACCCATATTAAATACAATACAAATTCAGTTGTGATAAGTATGTTTTTTTTTATGAACTAGGTTTTTGCTTTCTTTTTTTATTAACAATGGGTGAAATAAAAAGCTAAAAGAAAGAAAAAAATCCAAGGAATGGAGCAAGGAGGTGATATAGAGAAGTGTGAATATTCTTTCCTCCCAGCATGGATTCTCCAAGGCTATTGCTGAAGGCACTATCTCTCTTGCTGAGAAATCAATGAGCCTGCCAAAAACTGGAAATGTTCACTCCCACTGTTCAGGATACACTCATCTGGTTGGTATACAATTACAGAACAAGAGCCCCAGGACCAACTCTGAGAAGGAACATGTTGCAATATGGATCCCTTACAAAAACCAGTGGTGACATTTCATTTATCATAAACCCCAGATGCATAGCTCTGGACTTATTTGGTGAGTTATTTCAAAAGGATAACTGCAAGGAGTAACTTAGCATTACAAGTTGCTACTTGCAAGACTTTTACTTTTTTGGCAAAGAAGAGCAGTCAGTTTCTGTTCAATTTACTTAACAGTCTGGATGCTGTTTTGAAACCTCAAGAAATGGCTTTGACTATCAAACCTAGGATTTGTTAGATAATCACAAGCAATATAACTGGCAGCTTTTATTGTTATGAAGGCAAACGCTGATATAAATTCACAGTTGCAATCTATTTCTTTTCAGTAAATTTTGTTTACTTTCATTTCTCTGATGGAGAAAATATAAAAAATATAAACACTTAGAAAATATGAAATATTGGAAAAGACAATATTGTACATCATTCTATCATCCAGATATTTAGATGCTATTCAGATATGAGTATCTATTTTCCTGTTTTATTTTATAGATTATGAAAGAGGTTAACCTGCAAGAATAATATCAATTAATACCAATAATTATTTTTATTGCATGATTTTGCTTAATGCTCTCCATATAGCTTTTTCACTTTTCATTTTTCATAAAATAATAATGCTTATTTATTAAACTGAAACTAACTTCTTTTAGTATGATGTCATAATGCAAGTTATGCTGTATAACGCTTGTGTTAAAAAATCTCCATTGCTATATGTTTGTTTCATTTTTTGTTTAGTTATTTGTTTATTTGTTAATTTTTGCCATCATACATTCAGGTTTAACAAATAAATTTTTGTATACTTTCTGTACAAGTGTTTATTTTCATTAGTGAATCTACTAATATGGGAATTCTAGGATAAGAGACTGAGAATTCTTAATAATATGTGTTGTATGTTCACTTTTCCTCCTTTCGCTATAGGTTGGACTGATTCATTTATTCACTAGCAGAGGTTTGTCGAGCCTATCTCTCTGTCTTGAAAACTTACCTAACAAATCTCAGCCAATTTGATGTGTGGGAAATGCTACCTATTATGGTTTGGATCTATGTCCTCCTGTGGTCTGTGCATTAAAGGCTTGGTCTCCAGCCAATGGAGGCATGGAGGAGAACTTTACATCATTGGGGGTTGTACCCTCAAAGGGAGTCAGTAGGACTGTGGACCCTTCCTCTTCTTCTCTTCTGCTCTCTATCTCCACCCCATGCCACACTCCACACTATAATGTGCTGACCCTAGACAGACCCAAAATAATAGCCCTAACTGATCATCCCAAACTTTGAGCCAAAATAAACCTTTTCTCTTTATAAGTTAATTGTTTCTAATATTGTTATAATGAGGGAAAGCTGAGTAACACAGTACCTCCATATTTTTAAAAGTCTTTTGCTTCCTAACTTGGTAAGAACATTTTCCATGTATTGAATAATTATCTATATTGATCTTTAAGATTATTAATGTCCAATTTCCCTTTTGATCTCTATGATGTCTTTAATTATATGTTATATACTAAGTATATAGAAATTTGATTCATTTAAATTTATGCAGGAGGATTGTATATCCTATTTCATCAATATAATTGAGAGATCCAGTTTTAAAATAGACAACAACAAAGCATCAGGAGAATGCTTCCTCAAATCCTGACTAATGGTAGAAGTGTGTGCATTGGTACTCACTAATCAATCCAGTAGGTAAATATAATTGCACTTTTTTCATTTGTCCATTAGTTATGCAATTCATCAGCCATTTTTTTTCCTAAATGAGAGAGTTCAAACTTCCTGAACCCTTTTCTTCCTTGAGTTGTCCAGACATGATATGCACTTACTTGCTCTTCATTGAGGGCTTCCAGTTATGTTTCCAATAGCAAAGTGAAGCAAGAGGACTGGAATGTTTCTTCAGAACCACTGGCATTTCTTAATCATGTTGTCACAACAATAATTTTAAACATCAATCCTCTATAACTTAATATTTGCCCAGTTCAGGTGATGCAGAGATTATTTTGGATCCTGCTGAGATCCAAGATTTTGGCTTATTTATTTCACACTTATGTGTTGAATCATTTCCCAAAGTACTGCCACATGCCAGGCAGATGGAGCTGCAGAAGGCTGCAAATTTGGTTTCATGCCTGGGTCAAGACAAGCCCTCCTGATATGGTTTATGTTAGACCCAGATCACAAGGCCAGGTGTTCTCTACTACTGTGGTGAATTCATTCCTTTTTGGAGTCTTTTCATGCTAGAAACTTTGCTGGTGACCCTATCAGTTCATTCCCACTGTTTCTCTAAGTTTGCAAACATAGGGTGAAAGGCACTGGATATTGTGATGTTTCCCTCTCAGAATACACTCAGCTCCTTACTCTACCCCAAGTTTGACTCTCTAGGAGACAGAAAAGCCTTGTATAAGCCAAATAAACACTTCTACCATGTGAATGTTCCAAAACAAGGTGTTTCTGATTCTGATTTGAGAAGAAGAAAGCTTCCATGTTGACTTTTGGCAGCTTGTTTTACTAAAAAATAAGCAACAACATTGCTTCTTATTGATCACTCTGATAAGAATGATATAAGCAAATAGCAAAGACATTTTTGTTTTTAAAGTCAGAGCTGGTTAGTATAAATTCTGGTGATGTCAGTATTATAGAATTTATTTGATTGCAAATACTATAAAACATAATTAAATATTCAAAACATACCATATCTACTTCATCCTTTCATTCTTTTCTGTTACAATGATTCTTCTGAGCATCTGAGATGGTGATTCCTGGTTGATACTTATGGAGACAATTCCCTGGGGATGGGAACTCTTCTTCCACTGGTAATGACTTAAACTGTAGAGTTTCAAGTGGTTCAAGTGAGGTCTGATTTGAGCTGCTGGGGTTGATTTTTCTCCTGATTTTGAGCCAGAGTGTTACTAAACCAGCAAAAAGATCACAAAACAGTCAAGTTATGATTTCTTACTATTGAAGAAAAGTCCATGGACATCTTATCTATCCTCCATCTGACCCTGGGCAAAGTTCTAAAGTGGGTGATGATCAACAAAATTAAAATTCTACTTCCTCCCAAAACTGGAAAGCAATGACATGCTTAAGGAGTGACAGTCAGCTAAATGATAATAGGAAGTTAATTGGGAAAGAAACTCTAATTTTGATTCATTTTCTAATTTCTGTCTGGATTTGAGCATCTCTCTTACCTCTCTGATTTCTTTATATGAATTAGGGGGTGCATTTTCAAATGTTAAGATTCTGTGGAGTTTTTTAAAGGACAGATGAAAGTAAGTGAATAGAAATTTCAACTTACAAACGAAGGCTAAAGATTTTTGAAAGCTGTACTCTTTCACATTTCCACAAGCAATTTATATGGGTTCCAGTGCCTCCATATTCTCACATTTGTTATTTTTTCATTTTTTATGATAGTTAATAGCTACTAATCTTATTGTGGTTGTGATTTGCATATCCCTAATGATTAGTGATGTTGATATCTTTTTATGCACTTAGTAGCAATTGGAACATCTCCTTTGAGGAAGTGTCTACTCAAGTCTTTAGTTCATTTTAAAGTATTCGGTGGTTTTTCTTTTTGCTGTGAAGTGGTAGGAGCTCTTTCTATAGTCTGTTAATTTTTTTGTTAGATATATGATTTGCAAATTTTTTTTCCAAATCTCTGATTTTTTTTCACTTTCTTAACCATATCCTTTCATGCCTCAAAACCATTTGGATGAAGTCTATCTAGTTTACCTTGTGCCCCTTTCAAAACTTCATTGCCAATCCAAGATTATGGATATTTAATCTGATGTTTTCTTCTAGAATTTTATGATTTTTTGCTTCTAAGCTTTGCCTGTGAATCCAGTTTGAGTTAACTTTAATATATGTTGTAAAGCAGGGAACCAAACTCTACTTTTTGCATATGAAAAAATCCAGTTGTCTTCAAATCACCTCTCTCAGGCTTTGCAGATTGAACTGGTACTGGGGTACTTATTTGACACTTACTTGGTTTTTACTGAGCCAAGAAATAAACCAAAAATGGATATCTAAGATCCTTTCAAGTCTGTTCTTGGCATGCATATGGCTTCTCAGTATACATGGATATTTTTCAATATCCTAATTTTCTAAAGAAGCTTTCTTTCCTGGCTGAGTCCTTTCACATATCATATGTGTCTACCAGAACTTTTTCCTCGGTGTTTGTGTGGGTTGTTCATACAACCCTACAATATTGCAGTGCCCACCTCTTTTCTGGTCCCCAGTTCTGAGTGAGGCAAACAGAGATGAGCTTCATCCTGTATCATTTCTCTGACAGTCCCCAGCAGGTGAGAAAGACACATAATAGTATATGAATAAGGTCTGCTCTACTCCCTGCACACCCGGGGATCCTGGAATTCCCAGGATTGTACACTGGGAATCCAGGTTGTTATCCAAAATTCTGCCACCAAGTCGTTGAAGGAGTGGGATGAGGCAAGGAAAAATGTCACAAACCTTACCCACAATTTTTAAGTTGCCTTTCCCTTGATTTAACATTCCCTTGGTTGTTACAAGCCGTTGACTATATTCCTAAATTCCAACAAAGTCACTTCTAACATGCTGAACTAACATGCTGAATAATTTTAAATCATTATCTGCTTCCTGAGCCTATTGTTTTGTAATAATATCTAGATAATTAATGATGGCCCTAATAGCTATACTATACATAGTGCTGTCAGTCACTATGATAGTTCATCCTAACACCATACCTGGAGGGCAGGTTTTGTTCCATCTTCATTTTACAAAGTAATGGAATGGAAGTTGATCAAGTTGCTTGCTCATAGTCAAGGAAATAGATCTTGCTGAAATTGTTAACTGTCTCATACTAACAATAAGTCTTATATATGGAATCTTCTACACACATTGCAAATCTTCTCCGTATCAAATATTAGCTAAATATTTCACATACAATTACAATATTTATTTTTACAATAGCCCTTTAAGGATTTCCTCATTAATTATGAATAAAATGGAGGCACATGGTATCACAGTTACTTGAGGTTCAGATGGGGTTCTAGAAAGAAGATTTGATTGCTGGTTTATAGGCTTTCTTCTTGCCTCTAGGAAGAATATTTGAGTTAATTCTCTTTGAACATTTTTTTAAAGTAGCAAAGAATCCAGGATGATAGCATGTGCTGACCAAATATCTCAATGTTAACCACACTGTCAAAATAGAATTAAATAGCCTGTAATTGATGAACTGACCTGCAATTAAGAAAGGGGAAATATCCCAGAAATATCAGAGAAAATAATACAACATTCAATGGATGTTATGAGTCACAATGAATATACCCAAAGGGAAATCAAAGGTGATGGTGCTCTTATCCTCAGATGCTGTGTGGCTTGGTATATCCTGTGTGTGCTGTGGGAGAACAGAGGCAGTTCTTAGACTTATGAAACCATAGAGGCAGTCTGTTACATTCATATTATGTAACAATGAGTCTTATATAGAGAAAATGTTTCCTCCCCTGTACATAAGGGAAGCCAGTCCTATACAAAACCATCTTGAGTTTAAATTTTAACTGAGCCCAAACTTCAGCTAGTTCTGAAATAACAGCGGTTGATGACTTATTGCAGGTTAGACGCTAAATTAATTTCTGCTATGTAAGCTTACTTTCCTAAGATTTTGCTTCCATTCATTAAAGGACTTTAAATACAATCATGTATTTCTTCTTTTTTTATTTTTATATGATAGTGGAAGGCATTACAATTCTTATTACACATATGGAGCACAATCTTTCATATCTCTGGATGTATACAAAGTATTTCACGCCATTTCGTGTCTTCATACACATACTTAGATAATGATAATCATCACATTCCACCATCATTAATTACCCCATGCTGCTTTCCTCCCTTTCCAAACCCTCTGCCCTATCTAGAATTCATCTATTCCTCCCATGCTCCCTCTCCCTACCACACTATGAATCACCTCCTTATATAAAAAGAAAAAAATTGGTATTTGGATTTTGGGGATTGGATAACTTCTCTAACTCCATCCATTTACCTGCAAATGCCATGACTTTATTCTTTTTATTGCTGAATAATATTCCATTGTGTATATATGCCACATTTTTTATTCATCCATCTATTGAAGGGCATCTAGGTTGCTTACACATTTTAGCTATTGTGATAATCATATATTTCTCTCTAATCTATTGTCCAGCGGTCCCTCTGTCTTTAGAGCTGAATATCTCCTTCACCCTAAATCGTTAAACTCGACATTTTGCAGATGCAGAAACTTTCTGCTGGTTTTGGAGTTTGTAGTTGCTTAAATAATAAGTTTTTGTTATTATTTCCCCCTCCATTTTATTCATCTCCCTGTTAGACCAAAGTAGAGAATACAAAACAACTGAGTGAACAAGTGAAGAGCTGACAATGACACTTGGTGCCCAATGCCCCCTAAACTGTGATCACTGTGAGCAGCTGGCAGAAGCCCTGGCAGTTGCTGTAGTTTATGAAAACCAATGCCAGTTTAGTTGTGCTCTGTATCTTTTTTCCCATAAGCAGCCAGAACCTTGATCTTTCTCTACAACAGATAAATGAAACAAATAATATGGCTGAATTTCAAGTGTTCCTTTGGATCTACACCTATAATTCATCATCTGCTTAAATCAAAGGCAGTCCATTTTTTTTTGTTGTTGTTGTTGAATGAAGTGTTTCTTGTTTCCTTCATACAGTTCAGGTTTGCATAGATTCCCAAGACAGGGTGACTCTTGACCTCCAAATGCCTATATGTGGTACTCTCATTCCTGATATCCTCTTAAAGGTTTTAATTGCTGAGACCATTCTTTTTCTTAATGTTTGCTACTTGGTATTTTTTCCAGATATTTGTGTGCTAACTATTAGAAATTTATTCTATTCCAGAAACACTTTTATACTTTACAGGGTGAAAAGATGCATAGGGATGAACTCTATAATGCCTTAGCATGCTATAAGTTGTTGGACTTTTAAGAGTTTGGTTCTCTGGAAAATGGTGTAAGTTTTTAAACCATCGTCTTAGTTCAAATAATTAAGTTAAATTCTTCAGAGAGATGGTCCACACCTCACCACTAAGGGCAGGTTAGGAGAACAGTTGCTGGGGATGCTGATTCAGCCACCAGAGATGGTGCTTTATGACATCAGTGGAAATGAAAATTAAGTCATCATTTAACAGATAATTGGCCCTCCAAGGTCAGGAATGTGTAGATATTTCAAAGTTCTAATCAGAGCTCTTATCCCAAACTTATATTTGGGGAAGCCTCCTCTACTGGACAAGATCTAGAAGTTCAGAAGTTCAGCATGGAAAGAACCTAGAGGGGGAAGAGTACAGTGCACTCTTCCTCCTGATTTGCTCCCATGCAGCCTCTTGCCCCTGGATTCCCTTGCTCTGTTTAACATGGTGTCCCTCACACTGACTCACTGCATTTTCAAAATCTCTACAGTTTCTTTCATGGATGCCTATGGAACCAGGGCTCCCAGGAGCAGTACTAGCCATCCTTGACACCCCTTCCTTGTCAGCTTGCCTTCCTGCTACAGTTGTCGACTCACTACTTGTGAATAAAGATCCCTTACAATTACTGATGTTAGATTTTCTTCTTACTTACAAGCTCAATGTTTATAGTTTAGCCTTCAAAAATTTACATTCTGTGTAATTAAATAGATATGTGCAAATGTTTGTCTCTTTTCCTTAATTAAATTATATATTCATTATTTATTTGTTATACATGTTGACAGGGAGAATGCAATTCACTTATTACACATACAGAGCACAATTTTCAAGTCACTGCTTGTACAAAAAATTATGTTCACTCCATTCTCATCTTTATACACGTACTTAGGGTAATGATACCTAACTCATCACACCATCATTCCTATCTCTTTGCCCCCTCCCATCCACTCCCTACCCTTTGCCCTATCT